GATGGAGGAAGAGGCCAGGCCCGGCGGTGGTGGAGGAGGAGGATGCAGTGCCCAGCGGTGGAGAAGGCTGCCAGGTAAGAGGTGTGCAGGGGTGTGACTAGCCCACCTGAGACCCTGCAGAGTCCACCATAGAGAGTCTATGGTGGGCTCTGCAGGGTCACTATCAGGTGGGCTCTGCAAGCGGCGTAACTAGAAATCACAGGGCACCATACAAAATTTTGCTATGGGGCCATGTGATTTCTAGGTGCGCCCGTGCTCGCCTCTACAGCTTTTTTGTGATAGTTCTAGCCGACCGGTGACAATGAAACTGTCACAGGTCGGCTCAGTAGATCGGGAAGTGATCGAACACATATCGTGTGCGTTTCTTACCACAGACCTCTGCACTCTGTGCGTTACTTACTTCTGACTGAAGCACTCTGTGGCTTACCTCCTTCTGACCTCTGCACTCTGTACTTTACTTCCTTCTGACCTCTGCGCGTTACTTCCGTCTGACCTCTGCACTCTGTGCGTTACCTCCTTCTAACTGATGCAATCTGTACTTTACTTCCTTCTGAGAGATGGACTCCGTACTTTACTTCCTTCTGACCGATGCACTCCATGCGTTACTTCCATCTGCATGTGCGTCAGATGCTTCTGACCGATGCACTCTGTGCATTTCCTCCTGATCGGTGCACTCTGTGGGTTACCTTCTCCTGACCTCTGTACTCTGTATGTTTCTTACTACTGACCTCTGCACTCTGTGCGTTACTTACGACTGACCTCTGCACTCTGTGCAGATTTGGGGGGTCTTATTTTCTGGCAGTGCCCCTCCCAAGACTAGACTCTGGATCCGCCCCTGCCCTGGTTGAGAAAGAATGGTCTAGAGCAGGGGTCCCTAAATAGCAGACTGCGGTCCGGATCCGGACGAGCAGCGGTTCTATTCGGACAGCAATCGCCGACTAGGTCATGGCTGGCTGATAGTGGATGCACCGGGCCAATGAGGCTGGCGCATCCACAGGCAGCCATAACTCACTGCAGGTCCCTTTCCTCCTCAGTCATTGGCTGCTAGGACTGCAGCGTTCCTAGCAACCAATGGCATCACCCTTGTTCCCACTCAGCATTAAGAAAGAACTGAAGAGTATCATCTTCTGTCCTCCCTTGCGGCCCAAAGTTTGCCCCACCTCCTGGCTCCTCCCATCTCTGCTTTCTTGCTTCTCTCATCTCTGCCTTGCAGCCACTCTCAGCACTGACACCCTGCTCAGCGGGCTCCAGGATTAAGGTGACAACAGAATTTTAAAGGGACACTCTAGGGACAACTAGTGTAAGGGGGCACTCTGATGGGGACAATTACTTATTAGTTGTCCTCATCAGAGTGCCCTTTTACATTAGTTGCTGCCATCATGCCATGGGGGCATCTAATTTAAGAGGGCACTCCGATTGCAGCAACTAATGTAAGGGGGCACTCTGATGGTGGCAATTAGTTAAGGGGGCACTCTGATGGTGGCAATTAGTTAAGGGGGCACTCTGATGGTGGCAATTAGTTAAGGGGGCACTCTGATGGTGGCAATTAGTTAAGGGGGCACTCTGATGGGGACACCTAAGGTAAGGTGGCACCTAATCTAAGGGGGCTCTATGATGGGGAGAACCGATGTAAGGGGGCTCTATGATGGGGAGAACCGATGTAAGGGGCCACTCTGATGGGGAGAACCGATGTAAGGGGGCACTCTGATGGGGAGAACTGATGTATGGGGGCACTCTGATGGGGAGAACTGATGTATGGGGGCACTCTGAGGGGGAGAGCTGATGTAAGGGGGCACTCTGATGGGGAGAACTGATGTAAGGGGGCACTCTGATGGGGAGAACTGATGTAAGGGGGCACTCTGATGGGGAGAACTGATGTAAGGGGGCACTCTGATGGGGAGAACTGATGTAAGGGGCACTCTGTTGGGGAGAACTGATGTAAGGGGGCACTCTGATGGATGGTGTAAATGTTGTTAGTGGAGCCAGCCAGATGGTGTAAATGTTGTTAGTGGAGCCAGCCAGATGGTGTAAATGTTTTTAGTGGAGCCAGCCACGATGTGGTACAACCGCATCACACTGCGCTTTGACTATAGAACTTAATGAAATGTCACTTGTCAATAAAGTTCTAACAAAATCATTTTTTAAAAGTGGAATGTGCTGGGATTGGTGCATCAACACTCTGTCTAGGAAAACACACCGGCAGCTGTGCGTTGCAGTGTAGCTACTGGTATGAAAGCAGTCTAAATGGCGGGTCATGGTGCAGACATGGGCTGGGTTCTGTCCAGACCGCGATTCGGACCTTGGCTCAAAGAAAATTTTGGTCACCGGACCTCCTTGAATTTTAATTCACTACCTCTGGTTTGGAGGTATCCTCAGACAGAGTATGTTACAATAGTTAACTGTAAAAATAGAACATTTTCACATGTAAACATGCATATGTATGATAATTTAATACTGAATATTCAGATTCTTGTATAACCCCAGTTGTCAGTGTTTTTTTTTATTTTTAATTGCACTGTCCTAGCCCCAGCTCTAATAACAAATAACAAAAAAAAAACCTTGTTTAAATTTAGGTGCTAAATTGCATATTACTGGCATCACAACTTTAACCCACCCCAGGGCCGTAGATAATTTTTTTTCCTGGGGGGGGTTCAGCTTCCTCAAATTATAAGATTTTATCTAGCAGACACACCAAAGTTTGAAAAAAATATACTGGCCATATCATTCCTAAACCAATCCTTTACCCTGAGCAATACTGATTTTGTTGTTCAACACCATATGGATAAAAACCATGTTTTCAAAAGACTTATAATTGGTAAAAAATTCACACAAACCGCTTAGTTTACACTTATTGGGATTTTTTTAACCAAAAATATTTAGCAGAATACATTTTGGCCTAATTTTAGGAAGAAATTTTATTTTATTTGATATTTTGTATAACAAAAAGTTGAAAATATTTATTTCCCACAATTTTTTGTCTTTTTTCATTTATATAAAAAAATTTAATAAAAACCAGCGGCGATCAAATAGCACCAAAAGAAAGCTCTATTTGGGTAAAAAAATAGGCGCCCGTGGGAAAGTCTTCCATTAGCACCCCCACAAATCAATCCATAGTACAATGCTCTAGACAAACTGTTCCCTTGCCTATGTTTCCCCCTCCTGATCCACCTTCAAATCACCTCATTATCCAGTGCTGCTTTGTAATTGTCGGAGCCCCTTCTGGGCTTGTTTCAGTTTTCAAGGCATTGCCCCTTCTAATCGGTCATGGAGGAGAGACTTGAGTGAATTCAAGCCTACACTTCATGGTGGTTCAGGAGGGGTGCTGCCGCACCAAAAGAAGGGAGAACAGAAGCTGGTCTAAAGCCACTGACCCACTATGGAGACCCACCATATAGCAATATATTATATAGCAATGCAGAATACCACCAGCTATAGAGGACTATAAACCTCAGGAATACATTATATAGCAACGCAGAATAATATGAAGCTACGTACTCTGTGTTGCTCCAGGGTGGTGGCCTGATGTCTCAGGAGGGCTGTGCAGGGTCTCAGGATGGCTGTGTGGAGTCTCAGGACGGCTGTGCGGAGTCTCAGGAGGGCTGTGCTGAGTCTCAGAAGTAGAGCTGCAACAACTATTCGATTTAGTAGATTAAAATCGACGATGGAAAACGTCAAAGTTTTCCATTGTCGATTAGTCGGCTATCAATTCAATTGCCTGTTCGCGGCTCCACACACGAGCCGCACGCCCACACCGCCTAAGCTCCGCACGCTGAGGACATGCCTCTGCTCCTCTCCTCCCCGTGAGCTTCCTGACTAGCCGCTGCCCGCGCACAATCAAGGGCCCACGATTCAAAGTAAGTCACTCAGCAACAAGCGCAGGTCAGGATTCAGCCCATGTCTGGGCCGTGGGCCAGAAAGGAACAGGCAAAGGGCCAGATATGGCATGTGGGCCATAAAATGCCCAGGTCTGCCCTATAGGAATCCTGAGGGTGATAGATGAGTTTGAATATTTGATTCCCCAGACAGTCCTCATCGGCTATGTTCTGCTGCAGACTCCTGAAGTATATCACCCCCAGTGTTCCTATAGGGCAGACCTGGGCATGTGCTGCTATGACAGCTATGACAGCCATAAACTTTACATTATTACTGAAAGGAGGGAACACCACCACCATGGGGAGAATCTAAACCTTTTTAATGTTCCTGTTTGAAAAAATGGACAGGTTCTCTTTATGAGCCTGCCCTCCAGTACAGACTGTGGACTCTGGACATAGAACGAACTGGACTCTGGTCTTAGAATGCAGTAGGCCCGGTGCAGGCCTACATGATCCAAGAACGCGAGTCCTAGGATCGCACGGTCCTGCACAATGCAGGCCGCGATTGCCGTGCGGCCCCATTGATTTCAATGGGGTGACATCCGCACAGCAATCGCAGAAAAAAGGTAAACAATGCGCGGCTGTTTTAGCGCGATCCACCCGGCGCGACTAGGTTGCAATTAGAAAATAATGGCACACCTACAGCGCGATCGGTGCACGCTTAGGCGACTACTGACCGGCCGGAATCGTGCACGATTGACGTGCGGTGATGTGTCGTCTAGGTGTGCACAGACCCTTAGGAACACACTAGACTTGGGACATAGGAAAGCACTAGACTCTGGACTTTGCAACACAGTGGATACAAACAGGTTTCTGCACACGCACGCTAGTCTTTTAGATGCGTTTTTGGCTAAAAAAAAAAACATTTTTTTTTTAAAGTTTAAAATGGGCTTTCAGTGCGTTCCAGGCATTTTCATGTTTTTTTGATGCGTTTGCAGATCCAGAGCAGGTAAAATAGGGCCTGCTGCAGTTTTTTTCACCTGCTCTGGAACTGCACGCTGTGATGTGAACTGGAGCAAAAAATACCATTGGAATACATTGGACGCAGTTTTGCTCCGGTCTGCAACTGATCTGCTCTGCACCTGCTCCGCGCTTGGTGTGAACAAGGCCTTAAGTTCCATTACTTACGTTTTGCCATAGTATCTCCAGGGTAAATGTGACGATTGTAAACATCCATAATGTAAACCCTTTTATCATCAATAAAATCTCTTTCATGTCCATTTCCCTAGTGTCAACAAACATAAAATAAATCTCATAAAATAGTTGAGAAAAAACGAATGCGTATGCATATAATACAAGTTTAATCATTCTACATGACTGGGTCTGCAGCCCAAAACCTATAGTGACCTCAGAGCTCTATTTATCAGGCTGTCAGAAAGATTATATCAAATCTGTTCAATTTCTACCTTGTAAAGCCTCAGATAATTTAGAGATATTAGTCTTAACAACCTTAATGTGGGAATCGACACGGGCTAATTACTCTAGCGCAAAAGATGCATTTCTGTGACAACAAGGAAACAACCCGTGGCATCTTTCATCATCTGCAAAGTTTTAAAAAATGATTCTTATAACAACTTTTATTTTTCTAATAATTGGTGGAACTCTGTGTGGAGAATCACCTTTTAGTGAAATAGGTGAAGAGAAAGAAACACAGAATAAGAGTTTTTACTAGTTGCACAAACGGAAGTGGTAGTAGATTTCAATATAGCATAGTCACGGCCATCCCTATAATAAGGCAGCCTAAGGGATTTGCTTCAGGCGGCATCTCTTTGGGTCACCTGGGACCCTTAGGCTGCCGCCCCCTTTCCGGCTAGAGCATCCCAGGTTGCTAAGGGCTCTGGGCGGGATGTGCTGGAGGTAATGTGCACTGCCAGAGCCCCCCTCCTTCCCGATAACGATCACCACCAGCACCCTGCCCCCCCTCCCGGCCAGCACCAGCACCCTACCCTCCCTCCCAGCCTCAGGCGGCAAAAAGTCTAGGGATACCCCTGTGCACAGCTCAAAACTGTTTAAATACCCAAGCTAAAAAATATTTAGCTCAGATAATGGACAAAATAATGGGGATGGGGTAAAAATTGCAACTAAACTAAAGTTCAAGCCCAAATCAATTTTAGTTTTGGAAAAAGTAGGAAAGGGTTAAGCAGGCATGTCAAACTATTGTTTTATTTATGGCTCTCAGTTGGTTTAAGAATTTACCGTAGATCTAAACCCAATCATTAAAACCTCATATAAGTTTTCACATGCTAATGTTATTTCAAAAGTTGTTCTCAATCTTTTCAAATCCTCAAATCTGCAGCTTTCATAAAAAATATTCATGGTACATTTGTCACACAGTACTGCTCCTGCATTATCACTCACAGAGCAAGTGAATGTAGACAGGAAGTTGCTGAAAAAAGATATATAGCAATGGTTTATGATAAAGTGATTTAGCTTACTATATGTGATTTAATTAGGGTTTAGATCTACTTGAGATTGATAACGTTGATGAAGGCTGTGCTCTCTTCTATATTGTTTCAGCTAAATTAAATGTTATGATTTCACATATGCAATTGTAACAATAACCAATATTTTTTTTTTTTAATTAAGTAGAATGTGGTTCTTAGAGGACATTGAACGGAGTTAATCAAAAGCTGTACATAGGAACCAATGAGCTTCTCGCTTTCATTTTATATTCTTAACTGAACAAACTGAGGAGAGAAGCTGATTGGTTGATATGCACAGCTGCTCCAATTTTTGATAAATACCTGCCATTATGTAGTCCCTTGAAGATTTATTCCACTCAAAACATTCCACTGTTTTATTTGAGTTTGGCATGGTTATGTTAGAATCCCTGTCAGATTAACATGCCTGTGTTAGAATTTCTGTCAGGTTATTATTATTGCCATGCTCAGCGAGAACAGACAGTAGCTATTAGAACACAGACAATAGCTATTAGTAGCTATTAGCTAACCCTCCACACTCTACCAATAAAAAATGTTTTCTTGCTGCCTTTGTCCCAACAGTAGAGATTCTTCTTATTTCCAGTCTTAATAACACAACATATAGGGCAGAAAAATATTGCTGATCTGGACAAGAATAACAAAAAATCTTGACAGAAGTGCTTACCAGTAATAGTAATAATAGTAATCCCAACCTGCAAACTTATTTCAGGAAAGTGGTTTCATCGGCCACTTTTTACTTTTCTTTTTTATATAGACACCCTGGCAAAAAAAACCTAAAAAACATCCTTCCTGTCCTCAGATTAATACCTTAATATCACTAGCCCCAACCTCTTCAAAACCTTCAGAGCAGCAGAATTCTTTTTTGTACCGGCCCCATCTGCACACCCCCTTCCCGTAGAGTTCTATAGGCCTGCCAACCTATACAGTGGGTGGTTTGCTGACAGGTTTTTAGATGTCTATGTGTGGTAAACAACTGGTACAATGTGGGACTACTAAAAGGAAGTAAACCATTGGGTCTATATATCAATATTTTCAAGATTCACCTAACTTTCACCCAAGATCAAGACATTTTTAAATGAGTGTGAACGTTGTGGGAATCTTAAGTGAAAAAACTGATAAACAGGCATCTATGTGTGATAAATTATCTTCCCTCTGAATCAGATTTTTACCTCTTATACTATTTATACCACATATACCTTATATAAGTGTTTAGAATGCTTGTAAATATAGGTGGTAACCCTTTTATATAAATAACAATGTATTTAGTGTTTAATAGCCTTTAATGATGGCACTATTATTATCTCCTAGATTAAGATTCTATAAGGTTAGGAATAGTTTAGTACCTGATGAGCATCCAGGTCTATAATTGTTGCCTTCGATATTCCTTCAACACGTTCAAATAAGAACTAAAAAAACAAAACAAATATACTATTTGTTATATATAATATAATATATTTGATAAAGCATGTTAACATTAGCATGGTATGAATCTATCCACAGAAATCCTAGAAAAATATTAAAAATCGCAGCATTCATTATAATAAAATGTGTGTGATTGTACATCAGAGAAAACTTTTCTAATTCATACATCACATTTTGCTCCCTAAATTCGACAGACTGCAGACCTGCTAAGGTTTCATTGATGTGTTTATACAGAATAATGTTTTCAGCTCCAACACATGTAATAGGTGCCTTGGCTTTATGTGATATGTAGTATAACCTGTGGAGCCGTGTTTGGCGGCAGACGGATATCAAAGCCGAGCGCCCAAGGTTTTTCCTTCTTCCTTTTGTCTCCCAATGATACGACTTATGCTACTTGAATCTTGATGTGAATTGTCTGAATCCCTTTAAAAATGTTAATAAAAACTGATTCAACACTAAATTTGCCAGACTGTAAAGGCACAGGTGGCCTTAAGCAGAACTCCAGGATCAATAGTTCTGCATTCCAGAATAGCTCTTCCTCCGATATTCTAGACTCTAATAAAAGTTTTATTAAATTTTATTGCCTGTAACGTAAAAATGAAACTATGACAGCTGCTCTGATCCATTTAAAACTAGAAAAAAAAAGGGAAAGGTGCACATGGGCAGAGTAATAAACAAAACAGTACAAAAAAAAGTTCCTGCAGCATACTTTCAAGCTAGCCAAGAGCTGGTCTGATAATTCCCAGATGGACAGTGAGTGTAACCAATAAGCTGCAGTCACTGTTTGGGTATTCTGATAGTGGCATACCCATCGCTGTGGGGGGCTGTTTAGCGTGGATGGGGGAATCAAGCAGTTAGTATATGGGCAGCTTTAGGGACCAAAGCTGTTAAGCTGATTTAAGATGGAATAAAATTGTGCCACGTGCACCTACTTGCATTGTATCCACATCTCAAAACTAGATTATAGGTACATTAACTATCAAATGTTTCTATGAGCTAAATAGGATATTTCAGTTGTGGGTCTGCAAAGAAAACTGGAACAAGCACTGTCAGTTTTTTAAACTTTCAAACTTCCCGCCGGTTCCGCCCCCCTGCGACATGGCCGCTCACAAGGGACGGAACCCGGAAGTCGGCAGTGGCCGGAGGACACAGCGGGGATCGCGGACAAGTTAAGTCCTACGCTGTATTCCCGAGTGTGGCTTGGGGTTACCGCTTTGTCGACCATGAGCCACACTCGGGAATACCAATGGATACGCGCGAAAAAATGCCCCAAAGAAGCTCCTGTACTTGTTTGGGCTTAGGGCGTTTTTCTGCGCGTTTCCACGGGCTGAAATACGCCCAGGTGGGAACCATGCCCATAGGGATTCATGGGATTTCACTTGCTGAGCATTTTTCAGCGCTTCGATCAGCGCTGAAAAACGCCCAGGTGTGAACCCAGCCTTAGAGAACAAAATAATCTTACATTGGTGGCAGACTGGCCACTATACTATAGCTATGTCAGTTTAAACCCAATCCTAAAAACCACCTTAAAATATGTTTTACAAAACTAAAATATGTAGAAAATATTCATTGACTTCTACTATGTTCAAATAATGCCACAAATAAATGTATATTGTAGATGAAGATCTGTCTATACTTTAAACATTTATAACTGCATACAATGTTTTATTTAATATTTTTCTAGCCTCAGTTACTTAGTTAGCCTCATCTGTTGCAGAAACATTGCATGAATGGAGTGTCCTGGTGACCAAAGGCTGGCCAATTATGTCGATAAAATGTTTTTTGTCTATGGTTAAAAAGCTTCAGACCCCATTCAAACTGAGCGATTTGTAGCACGACTTCTGCTCAAATATCGCTCACAAATCGCTCAATGTAGCTTGTACAATGCATTTCAATGGAGCTGTTCACATCTTACAGCTCAATGTTGCCTGTAGCTTGTAGCTCAAGCTTGTTGCTCGAACACGACCTATTTTTCCAGCGGATTTTGTGTGATTTGGCCCCAATAGACTTTGATAGACTGCCAAAAGAAGCGCTACATAGTGCGACAATATGTGCACTGTAGCTCAGTGTAGCTCAGCTCAAATCAGGGCTGAAAAAGCTGATGTAGCTCAGTGTGAATAGGGTCTTAGGCTAGGTTCACACCTAGGCGATTCAGATGCTGAGCTGTTTTCACGATTTTCAATGCACAGAGATGTCTATGGGACCCGAACCGCGTGACAACCGCCCACAAATAGCTCCTGCACCTTTTCGCGTGACTGGTGATTTGGTCCGCGCGACAAACTGCAAAGATGTGAACAGCCTCCATTGACTTCAATTGGAATCTGTGTTTTGCGCGATACCGCGCGACTCAAACCGCGAGATAAATCGTCTATGTGTGCACCGGCATAGCCAACTTCAAAGCCCATCTACAGCCAAAATCTTTTCTTCTGGTTTTCAATACAGGGGGAAAGACTCAAAACTCCTCACTTCCTATCCTGGTGCCACCAGGACAAGAAATGAGAAGTACAGGTTTCACCAGGATAGAAAGACATGGATGTTCTAACCCCTTTCCATACCATTAAATAACAATAACTGTGTTTTTGTTGATTTGTGTGTCCCTGTTAGAGAGATGTGCCTTCACTTCCTCTCTTTGGGATACCCTATTAGCAGAAGAAGAAGGTAAATCTGCCTTATGGGGAAACAGAGAGCAATATAAATCAGAAGTTCTAACCTGTCACTACTCTGAAAAACGGAAACATTTTTGGAGTTGGACTTTAGGTGACCACATTTTTACAAGTTTTCTGCATTATAAACACATGACTGCTGAAATGGTTTACTTAATAAATAACTGGCTTTGGACCAAACCATTCTCATATGCTCCTACAGCTATTTCAGAATAGGGAATATATTATTTCTAATTGTACCTTAATAGCTAATGTTATATCAGCATATGCACAAAATCCTCCACCTTTATCGCCAGAACAATGATGAAAGCCTCCACCTTATAACAAAAAAACAAACAAACCACAGGATTAGTATTACATCAAACATTATTTATAAAGAGGGGAGATTTTTTCTGGGTGTATTAACTAGATTGGTAAAATAGCAAACAAAGTAAGCGAGGGAAGGAGATATACATTATGGTTGATTAGGGTTAACTCAGGGATAACAAGAGATAAATAGAAACATGTTATTGCGAATATTAAAAATAATTTGTTGACACCCCTTTAAACTGCACATAAAAAAACTAGTATAAATACATAGAAACAATAATATTGCTACAATGTACTTATTAATGAAGCTGGCAAACACCGTTGCACCCTATACAGTATTGTGCGTCTACCCTCCTGCAGCAGAGACTGGGGATCATTCTGGTTATTTTGCTGTGTACAGCAATTGCAGCAGGAGATGAGGATAAGGGTGTACGAGGTAAACCCAAGGTATTTAGATTAGGTTTTTTAAGGAATGCCTTGTATCAATGTTTCAGTGCAAAAAACTTGACAGCCACTATCAAAATTAAACCAGCCCTAATGGTCCATTCACACCATCATGTGGTAATGCACGGTAAAGCGTGTTACTGCAACACAAAACAAAAAGCATGGTGCATTGCGTTGAAGTGCTATTCTTTTTACATGGCACCACAACTTCTACAGCAAGCACCTGCACTACAGTGCACCACAAAGTATGATGTACACTGCATTGCTGTGAAAAAAATTAGAGCAGGAGCAGTTTCTACTTGTTGTTCTTGGGAATTAACAGTAGCCAAAAATGATTTTTTTTTCATTTTGTATAGAGTATGGGAGGGTCATAACTCTTGTCAGTTTTTCTTGTGTCTCATTGGGGAGAATTCCCTCCACTTCCTGTCCGGTGGACTCAACAGGAAGTGAGAGGAAATCCCTCCAAAGAGAGGGAAATCCCTGGTGGTTTGCAGGGTTACCAAAGCTAACATTCACCATGCCGGCCGAAAGGGTGTCGACAATGGCACCCACTGTGCAAACTTCGGCTGGTTTTTGAAGATCTGGACGAAATTCGCATAATGTATAGGCAGCTTTAGAGTTCACTCACATCACTCACTCCTGATTGGCATTGTTTTCTCACTGGCTGAACCACAAAACTCCATCACCAACAATCAAGATTTTCAGCATTTCATTTCAGCACAAGAGAGAACACTTTTACTGGGGGGCAGCTGCATTCAAGTGATTTTTACCTCCAGGCATGGTGTCACCACCAGCAGAACTGTCATTGTGACATGGGCCTTAGACCAACATACTACACAGATTAACATAGGGGCGGATGGAGCCCTCACTGACCTCCTGGAGCCCGCACTGACCACCTGGAGCCCGCACTGACCACCTGAGAGGCCGCATTGACCACCTAGAGCCCTCACTGACCACCTGGAGCCCGCACTGACCACCTGCGAAGCTGCACTGACCACCTGGAGCCCTCATTTACCACCTGAGAGCCCGCACTGACCACCTGGAGCCCGCACTGACCACAAGAGAGCAGCAGTGACCCAATTGGAGCCTAAACAGCCTCCTGAGAACATGCACAACCCCCCTGAAATGCCGCACAGCTCTCCAGAGACCATGGAGATATCAGACCATGAACCCAGAGCAACACATAGTACTTAGCTTTATATTATTCCGCATTGCTGTATAAAGTATTGCTGGGATTTGTAGTCCTCTATAGCTGATGGTATTATTCTGCAGTGCTTTACAATGTATTGTTGGAATTTGTAGTCCTCTATAGTTGGTGGTATTCTGCATTGCTCTGTAATGCATTACTGGGATTTCTAGTCCTTCATAGTTGGCAGTATTTTGCATTGCTGTATAATGTATGGCTAAGATTTGTAGTCCCTCTACAGCTCAATCAGTCAATGGCAGATCTACCAGGGTTGCAGCTGCAATGGGGCCCTGGCGCTCCACCACTGACTCCAATCTGTAGGGAGACTAGAAATCACAGCCCGGACAGGAGGAAGAGGGCCCGGGTGACCGTCACCATTTCCATATAAAGGCCCCCCATAATCCTCAGGACCAGGGCTGTGATGCTTCTAATCCAGCCCTGACTGCACACTGTGAATTTGTGATATGTGAATGAAATGTGATTCTCTAACCAGATAAATAATACCTTGAAATGAAAGTATTATACTTGCCAACATTAATTGCCCATCCTCTTTCAATGGCTAGTTTTCCAGCCTGAAAGAAAGCATACAGGTAGATGTAAGTCTGTATGTTGGACTGAGGTATAAATACAGTTAAATCATTGGTGTTTAAACCAATTCTTGTGGCAAAAAGGACAAACAAATTCAGTGAAGTACAAAGAATGTACTACTGTAGACAACTGTCCCCTTTCTGGGGTGGGGGGAACGGGAAGGAAGCCATCAAAGGGTACTTTGAGACTCTGAAGCTGCTGTTCTCCAAACTGTCTGCAATGCTTTATAATTTTCCAAAGATCATAGGGAATATGTTTCAGCTATGATAAGACCTAAAATATTAGTTATGGGGAGATGACAGTTATTCCTTCTGGTAGTTTAAAATATGAACTACACGCGGATGCAAAATCGTATGTCTTGGCCTTATAGACCTACCTAGGGACCTACGAAATAGTTACATGGACCCTGACCATAGTAGCCATGTGGTGTTTGGACTTACTGCAAAGGACCCTTTGTCGGCTTGTTCCCCAATCGAGGTGACAGTTTTCTAGGCCATAATTCTACAGGGGATTAGTTAGCAGATAGGTTTTAATTTCTTCAATCTCCAGGACCAAGCTTTTTATTTCAATTCTAAATTCTGAACATTTGTCCAAACTACTGACCACTGAATTAAGAAAATATCTGTAAAATCATCTTACTTCTGTATTTAATCTTACATCACCTATGCCCATTAA